AACTTTTTAATTATATAAGGAAAAGTAGCTAGCGCCCTATACTGCATCTATATTTAGACTTATAGAGACTTTTATATACTTATTTAAGTATCTGCTATTATAGCTTAGAAAATAGTAGTAATATAAGCAGCTTCTTATAGTAGCATATAGTAAGCTTACTATACTTTATATAAAGTTTTAGTTCTATACTTATATAAGTACCTACTAGTATAGCCTATAAATAAGTTTAATATAAGTAGCTTCTAGTAGTAGCATATAGTAAGCTTATTATTCTTTTTCTAAATAGTAATGCGCTTAGCATATATTGCATTAATATTATAGTCTAGAGATATTAGTATATATTAATTAAAGTATAATATAATATACTCTTAAAGTAGCTAATAAGAAAAGCCTCTAACGTCTCTTAGATTACGTTAATTATAACTCTCTAAAATTAAAAATTAGGCTTATATTACTAGGTAATCTCTCTAATAAGATAGTTAAGCAGAGCTTTAGAAATAAGCATTTTTATTAACTTCTAATATTAACAGATCTATCTTAGAGATATAGCTAAGTATAGTAAGTAGTTAGATATAATAATAAGCTATAATAATATACTATCTAGCTTATAGCAATAAGCCTTCTTACTGCTAGCCTTAGCTCTTCTAGTCTTAGTATTTATTAAAGGCTTAGTACTAAGTTTAGAGATAATAAGTTTCTTATGCGTAGCTATAGAAGTAAGGTCTTTTCTAGGCTCTTTACTACTAACTTTAGCTAATCTCTTTCTCTTAGCTTTAGTAGCGCTAACTCTTAACTTAGAAGTTTTTAAAGTTTTCTTCTAACGCAGAGGCTGCTCTTTAAAGTTATTATTAAACTTTTCTTTATTATTATTAGCAGAGTTCTTATTACTACTAATTTAAGAATCTTTAATATTAGCAAGTATAGAAATCTTAGCTAAAGTAAGCATAATAAGAGTCTCTTTCTTATTATTACTGCTACTAAAAGCTAATACTTAAGAAGATATATTAAAATATATTAAGAAATTTAAAGAAGTTATAGTAGTAGTATATAGAGAAAACTTAATAATTTAAATATCTGCATAGATCTACTAGCGTGCGCAGACCTCTACTAGCATAAAAGTAGTAGAAAGCTCTAGTTTTAGATCTACTACTTCTATATAGAGCTAGATATAGAATAATAAACTATAATAATTTATAAGCTAATAGTTTAGAGTCTACGCTTTCTCTTAGTACTAGTTTTATTAAGATATAGCTATTTTAGAGTAAGATATTCCTAGTTAGAGAGATAAAAACCTCTTTTTTTAGAAGTTTTATTTATCTCTTATCTATTTATAAGTACTATAGCCTCTGCAGCGCAATATATATCTCTATATATAATAAGGAACCTATAATCAATAATAAGATAATAGTACTTACTGCTAGCTTTTATTTTATACTAATTTAAGCTTAGTTTAATATCTAGAGAATTCATTTATTATATATAGAGTTATTAACCTTAGTAACTACGCTAGTATAGCTTTTAGATAGCAGCGCATAAGCTATAACTTTATATTCTTAACTTTCTAAACTTTAGATTAGCTACTTCTCTACTACTAGGTTTTATTATATACTTTTATTATGCT